CCCCAAAACCCCAAAACCCCAAAACCCCAAAACCCCTATCTTTGGCAAAAAAATTGAAAATCTATACGCACACCTAAGATCCGAGACCACTCAAATGACAGAATTTTACAACACTTCAGAATATTTTTGAGAATGGATAATATTGTAGAGTTCATGAAGAACTCTCAATTCTCAGATGGCTTTGTGCTTGGAGCATTTTCTACAATGGAAACTAGCAAAGCTTTCCAAATGCTAGATCATTTAGCTAAGCTTATAAAAGCTAAGGACGAATGTGAGAAAAATCATCAGATGAAGCTTGGGAAACCCGAACCACTGAAATGAATACCCATAGATTTCTTAGATAAAGCTTCCCAGAGCTATTCCCAAATGGGGCAAGAACAAACAGAGCCTACTGCAGAAGAGAGTCCATCTAATGAAATGAAAAAGAAGAGGAAGATCAAGGAAAAATAGAAAGAAGCTGACTAAATCAAAAATCCCAAGAATAGAGAATTTACAAGCAGAAGAGAAAGATAATTCATGATACAACGACTCGAATAGCCAGATCAATAGCGATTCAAATTGATCTAAAAGTATGGAAGAGACATCCCCAATGTATACTCCAATGAAAAAGTCGAAGATGACCCCAAATTTTGCATTGACTAAATCCAAGGGTTCTTGCATGATCTGTTACACCTCAAAGAAACAGAGGATCAATCTGAAATGTGGCCATTGCATACATCGAGGTTGTTTATTATCCAAAGTCACTCAGAACATCATAAACGGCAAACACATAATTGAGTGCTTCGAGCCTGACTGCAAGCAAGAGATAGAACCTTGGCACTTTGAACAGAGTCTTAAACTAGAGTTTAGGAACTGATTCAAATGCTTAAAAGAGATAGATTCCTTCCAGAAGATACACAAATCTAAGAAGTTAAAATGGTGCTTTACATGTAGGAAAGTATTCATTGAACCAAAATCTATCACTCAAAACTGCCCTCAATGTTCCAAAAGTGTGGATGAACTACAGTCTATGTTCCCGCTGATGAAGTTCTTTTTGTCCAACTCGAACACCTTCAACGAAGAGAGCAAGAAAAAGAAGGAGATGTGCAGAATGTGGCTGGATGATTGCAGGAAACAACTCAGTAATCTCATTGGATGTAGCAAGAGGAAAAGTAATTTGTAATTATTTGTATTTTTAAGTCTCCAAAAAATATTTCAAGCTGGAAATACTGAAATGGGGTTTTGGGGTTTTGGGGTTTTGGGGTTTTGGGGTTTTGGGG